AATTACTGGCTACGAGCCTACCCCGAGGGTATAAAATAAGTAAATAAATAAGAAACGACAGAGTGAATTGAAGTGCGGGCGCCGTTACGACGCGGTGTTTTGAAGCCACGTGACTATGACTCCTGCGTCACGAGGAGCTATTGCAGTAATTTTTAGGGAGCCCTGGGGCTTGTCGGTACTTACTTTTTCAAGTGTTTCGTCGTTTGAAACCTTCATTTTACGCACAAAAGTATAAGTATATAAAATGTTCAAAAGGTCATGTCAGTGCTCTTAATAGCGATGCGGTAAGCCATGGGGAAGTCGTAAATCCTCTATAGGCCCCATTTAGTGAGCAGACCTGAGTTTGTGAAGCCCTACTAAAAATAATTATAAGAGAACAATTAAAGGTGGAATAGCGCTCGAAGAAAATAATATACTAATAATATTTCCCACATATCCTGTAGAAAAACTGAGCGTCTTAAACAACACTAAGTCGTGGCCTATATTCACTCTCATAATTTTCTGTAGAAACCAGCGCATCAACTCAATAAAACATTCTTTTGCATAACTTTGCATACGGAATGTGGCGAATAAGGCCAACTTGAGGAACTTTGTGGAAGAGGAGGCATCGATGCATGCGAGACGAAGCAATATAAGAAAGAAAATAGGAAACTTTCGATATAACTTAATTCACATGAATAAGCACGTCGATAGCAGATTAAGTAAACTTGAAACAGCACTGACATTTGGGCCCGCACTCGAGAGCCTCTTTTTTTTTTAATGAGAAGGCAAGCGTTCAAACACTTCATCTTAATTCCGCTGGGCACGCGTCTTATGTGACGTGGGAGTAGACCTTTTTGACGCTTCCTTCCGTGCAGTTAAAGCTGCATTACGTGACTTGAATGTTCAATGGTTTCAAGCAAATTTTTCTCCCCAGTTCACCTCCTTTTCTAAAGGGTCCATGTAAAACCCCAGCCTATGTCATGGCCAGTTGCTCCACAAGAGCACTCACACAACTTTCTCGCTTTGTTCTTCACTCGCGTACTTAATTAATTACATATTTGAATAATCAATTGCCTGATTCGATTAAACGTTCCTGTGCAGCACAGTGGCTACAACAGACGCTGTTACGGACGCTCTCTGTTTGGCTCATGCAGTTCCTATTTCTGGATCTTCAAGAGAGTGACACTCGATTTGTTGGCAATTTTACCTATTGCGAGAAGACGTCGCTGTCTTAAACTGCCGATAGATAAACGAAATGGAAGCAACATGCGACACTTGGAGCTCATACAGTTTTCAGAACTGTCGTCCTATTATCGTCATCATCATCCTGATTACGCCACACTGCTGGCCAAAGGCCTCTCCCATGATCCGCCAATCAACGCGGTCTTGTGCTTTCCATTGCCACGTTATACCTGCATACTTTTATTGCCATAGCAATTATAGGGGCGCTCTCGGCTAGATTTTGCCGCCGGCGTAGGCGTCGACCACGGCGTGGGCGTCCCCGTCACTCACCATACATGTACACGTATCTATTTATATGAAAGAAAAAAAAAAGACTCTGGTGCGCGGAATCGAAATTGGGAGCTTTGAGATGTGAGCGCGAGGCGTTAACCACTGTCCCATCGAAGAGCAGCTCCTTCAGCGCTCAAACGGCGATCTATTTATATCTACCACCACAGCTCGAAGGACTATGCTACCACTTACCGCTGGGGCCGGTCATTTCGGTCTTGGGGGTGGGGGGGGGGACCGACCTATTGTGTTTTCAGAGTTACCAGCAAAATGGTGCAATGAGCTCGCGTGGTCAAATAGCCATGACGCGGGCGCGCGCGCTCATCTCCCACGCGCGTACTTTGAATCACTGGTTCTTTCGCTTCTTTTCGCATTGCATAACCTGATACAAAGTGCAATGAAGGTAATATTCGTTTGCCACTCAATCACTCTCATGTATTGACGACTTCGCACATTATGTGATACGTGCAGCTGGAAAAGTATGGGGTTTGACCTTACGTAAGATAAAGCAGAAAACGGCGCGCATTTTATTCATTTTGCTTCATTGTTTACGTTAGCTGTATTTCTGTGCAATGTGTGTCACATATGTTGCTGAAGTCGCTTTTATTTCCTTAAAGACCCCCTGTAGGGGTATTACATAAGGGGTGGTGCATAAAAAAAAAAAAAAAAAAGAGAACTATACAACGGTGTTTTTAATGGCTTCTGCAAACATAGATGGGTTAGTGATGGCACAGGTGGCGTGAGGAAGGCCATTCCAGTCTTTTGCTGCTCTTACGAAAAAGGAGGCTTGGAATACAGTGGTCCGGGTACGTGGTAATGCGACTTGTAACGGATGACCAGTGCGATGGGATATGTGCGGAGGGGGCGTGATGTACGGTGGATGATTCAGTGAACTGAAATAAAACATATGAAAAAGAGAGAGGGTGGCACACCGTCGGCGTGAAGCAAGGGTTTCTAGACCTGATTCCGCCTTTAGAGATGAGATGCTGATATCGTATGAATATGCAGAATGAATGAACCTGGTAGCCCGATTTTGAAGTGATTCGAGTTCACTTATGATGTATGATTGATGAGGGCTCCAGATGGAAGATGCATACTCGAGTTTGGACCTGATAAATGATTTGTATGCAAGCGTCTTGACGTGAGGCGGAGTATGGCGTAAGTGTCGTCTGAGAAACCCGAGTGATTTATTAGCAGACGAGATGATGTTAGTAGTGTGATGACGCCAAGACAGGTCATGAGCCAAGGTGATGCCGAGGTATTTGAATGATTGAACTGATTGTATGGGAACATTAGTGATGGAATAGGTAAACTCAAAAGGGTTACGGTGGCGAGAAAAAGAAACGAGCTTACATTTATTAGGATTTAAGTTCATTAACCAACGATCACACCATGTTTGTATGTTGTTAAGATCATGCTGAATTAGTGTTTGGTCATGAATGTTGGTTACTGATCGGTAGATTACGCAGTCATCGGCAAACATACCAAAGTTACATGATACATGCAATGGTAGGTCGTTAATGTAAATTAAAAAGAGTAGAGGCCCTAAGACAGACCCTTGCGGGACACCTGAGGTTACAGGTAGTCGGTTAGATGAGTGATTATTAACAAACACAAATTGGGAACGATTAGTCAGGAAAGATGTTATCCATGCAAGTACATTAGGATCTAGATTTAACAGAGATAATTTAAGAATTAGGCGTTTGTGAGGGACAGTGTCAAATGCTTTGGCGAAATCCAGGAAAAGAGCATCGGTCTGAATGTTGCAGTCAAGGTTAGAATGTAAGTCGTGAATGAAAATGGCCAGCTGCGTTTCACAAGAATAACCCCTTCGGAACCCGTGTTGAGAAGGATGAAAAAAGTGCATTGAGTCCAAGAAGTTGATGATATGGGAGTAGATGACATGTTCCATGATTTTGCAGGGGATACTTGTTAAGGATATGGGACGGTAATTTAGTGGAGAATCTCTGTTACCTGATTTGTAGACTGGAACGACCTTGCCTACTTTCCAGTCTGCTGGCAGAATGCTTGATGATAATGACTGCGAAAATAACAATGTAAGGTATGCGGCACACACATGTTTAACATTTATGAGAAGTTTTGAATTAATGTCATCCACACCTGCAGAAGAAGAAAGCTTAATCTTTTCTATAATCGAAATGATGCCGTCCGTAGAAAATGCAATCGGGGGCATAGACTCGGTGCTGCGCGCAGGTGAAGAAAAATCGGGAACTGAACTCTCATTCGTAAAAACAGAGAAAAAGGCCTCGTTAAAAAGGTTCGCGCATTCATTGTTGTCGACTATATCGCCATGCGCATTTGAAAGACTAGTGGTGCGCATCTCCTGAGGGTTTATCACCTCCCAGAATTTGCGAGGGCTGGTTGCAAGCATTTTGGGCAGCTCTTCATGAAAGAACACGTGCTTGGCGTTTCGAATGGTTCTAAGATAATCATCTTCCGCGGCGTAATATTTTTCCCATAAGGACAGAAGTTTAGACTGTTTGGCTGATCGGAAGAGGCGTTTTTTCTTGTTTCTTAGTTTGTGAAGTGTACGTGAAAACCATGGCTTGTTTCGGTTTGCGGTAAACGTTATTTTTGGGATAAATTTCTCGACAAGAGTGGCTAACTTATCTCTAAATATAATCCAATTCTCATCCACAGAGCGTGTATGGCTTATTCTCTCGAAATCAGGAAGAAAAGATATCAATTCATTATTGATGGCACTATAATTGCCCTTGTCGTAAAGACGGATTGTTTTGGTGACAAGATCGCGTTTTACAGGTCGAAACGCAAAGGCCGCATGGATTACCTTGTGGTCACTGACGGCACGCAGATATGTAATTGATGATAAGCTCTCTTGATGACTAGTTAGTATTAGATCTAAGATGCTGGAATTGCTCTCTGTAACGCGCGTTGGTTGGGATACAAGTTGGGTTAGATTGCAATTCAGGCAGAAATCTATGAAGTCCTTTGCGGGCTCACTGCCCACAGCTGACGGGACGCTACTACTCCAATCTATTTGAGGGAAATTAAAATCGCCGAAAAGCAGTATCTCTGCTTGCGGATACTGTTTCCCAAGGTCACTCAGGTTGTTGTTGAGCTTATATGCGAAATCTGGGTCACTGTTCGGGGGTCTATAACAAACGCCTACAAGGACAGTATGAGGGCGAGCACGGCAAACGACCCAAAGAATTTCAAGTTCAGGAGAGTTGGTCCTGGCCACCGAGCACGATAACTGTTGGTGCACAGCCATCAGAACCCCGCCTCCACGTGCGCCTGTACGGTCCTTACGATAAAGTTGAAATCCAGGTAGGTGATCTAGCACTTCTGCATCGGTTATATCATTTGTCAGCCAAGTCTCGGTTATCACCAATACGTTACTGCTTGATGACAAAGCAAGCTCAGAAAAAGTTATGCGTTTCGGAAAAAAACTGCGCGCGTTAGCAAAGACTACCGAAAGTGACAGGCCAGATTGAGGTGTGGGGGTGTGCCCGGCAGATTTGCGCCGAGGAAATTGCTACGACGCTTCCCTTACAGTTTGCGATTGCTCATCGTAGACGTAGCGCTTGTGACCCATTAGCAGTGTCTTGTACGTGATGGAAAAAGGCAGCGACTTGGTTTTAGCAAAGGCAATCAATTGCCGACGGACGTTTTGCACACGACGTGAAAAATCTTCACCAACACTAAAAGTGGTTCCTTTAAATTTCCGTCCATTAGAAAGAATCTCTCCTTTTGTTTTATGGAATGCGAATTTAACTATTATGGGGCGATGGTGGTTAGTACCCTTGCGGCGACCCAGACGATGCGCGCGCTCAATTTCCTTCGGATCGATGGAAATACCTAGACGATCACGGCAGTGCTTGATGACAAGTTGTTCAACTTGGACAAGTGCTTCCGATCCAGTTGATTCAGGAAGGCCATAAAATATGAGGTTATTGCGCCGAGAATGATTCTCGGCTTCATCCACGCGTGCTTCAAGCTTGCGCAGAAGGTCACTCGCGCGAGCGGTGTCTCTTCTGAGCGCTTCCACATCAGTACGTAAGGAAATAATATTTTGGCAGTGCCCCTCCAGATCAGTCATGCGTCTACTGAGATCTGCTATAGATTTATCTGTTGATAGCAAATGGGACTTAAGGTCCTGTACCTGACTGATTAATTCCGTCTGACCGGCAGACAATTTCTGCAGTTCAGTTAGTACAGCATTAGAAGCAGGACCCGGATTGCTTTCAATATCGCCCGACATCATCAACAAGGCACGAATAACACGAGAACACTCAAGTGCAACAAGAACGCAGCAGTGTGGGCTCGGCAGCTGAAACAGCAGGTAATTACTAGACTTCTTAGCGAGAAGACTGTAAGTTTTACTAACCTGCATGACAAGAGTGAAAGGATTAGCGGTCTGCGTTGGTGCACAGCCGCCGAGCCCACACAGCGCCGCCGGCAAAGGCCGCTCTTTTGTAGTCGACACAGGCATCGATGCCGATGCTGATAGCGTCGACCAGGTTTTGTCGAGGACCATGTAGCTGACCGGTGGCGCCGGAAGGGATCCAGATCTGTTGCGTGAGGTGAAATCCAGTGGTTCCAAGTACGTTGCGGTTGATAAGCTTGTGTCGAAGACCAAGAGGGCGTGACAGGTAAGCGTGCCACTTTCGCTGGAACGATGTTGATACTGCAACGGTGTGGTCAAGGAAGCTGGCAGGAAAACGGAAAGCAGTATGCGCAGGAATGCGCACTGAAACACCTGCATGACAAGAGTGAAAGGATTAGCGGTCTGCGTTGGTGCACAGCCGCCGAGCCCACACAGCGCCGCCGGCAAAGGCCGCTCTTTTGTAGTCGACACAGGCATCGATGCCGATGCTGATAGCGTCGACCAGGTTTTGTCGAGGACCATGTAGCTGACCGGTGGCGCCGGAAGGGATCCAGATCTGTTGCGTGAGGTGAAATCCAGTGGTTCCAAGTACGTTGCGGTTGATAAGCTTGTGTCGAAGACCAAGAGGGCGTGACAGGTAAGCGTGCCACTTTCGCTGGAACGATGTTGATACTGCAACGGTGTGGTCAAGGAAGCTGGCAGGAAAACGGAAAGCAGTATGCGCAGGAATGCGCACTGAAACACCTGCATGACAAGAGTGAAAGGATTAGCGGTCTGCGTTGGTGCACAGCCGCCGAGCCCACTTTTCTACCTTGGTGCACAGCCGCCGAGCATACTTTTCTACCTTGACCCCTTCGAATTGCAGCCGCCATGACGGGGATTCAAACCCGCGTCCTGGAGCTTAGCAGCGAAGCACCTCAGCCACTAAGCCATCACGGCGGGTGTTCGTGGTTTTCATAAGTGGAAGCAGGTACGTATAAGTACATGCGGGTACTTTGGGAGATTCATCAGTTTTTTACCGGACGTATTACGCGATGTCTGAAAACTATTTGTTTCCATGCGTACAAAAATAAAGCAAGCAAGCAATAGATAAATTGCTAACTTCAACAAGATCTTACTTCAAATTGCTAACTTCAACAACAACTCTAACAAGATGGGAACAACGTAGTGGGGTGATCAGAGTGAGCAGTGGAAATGCCTCAGACAGGCAAGGTCGACGTAGCGATAGGAGATAGGTCCTTCTATCGAAATGTCGGTCAGCCAGCCTGAGGCACTTCCACTGTTCACCCTGGTTATCTTACTTCAACAAGGTACTGTGTTGGGGTAGTTCCTGAATAGTTTACGACGAACATGCGATGGAAGGAAATTCCCAGTAAACATCAAAGAAATACCAAAACAATGGGAAGTTCGTATAGCTGCTTATGGTTTCGGAAGAACGCAGCGGAGAGGTACATAAAATTCGTTGGCATCACTGGTACATTCGCCGCCAGTGTAGAATTATGGACGAAACAGTTTAAATCACATAAAAGCATGAAAAAAATATCAGCCAACCAAATCTAAAAAATTCATATTCTTCATTATTAAATAACACAGGCAGAAATCAACTTTTTTTTCTCTTTCCACGATAGATTTCCTGCTATTCTCGAGAGATAAAACCTAATAACGCTTACGAAGGAAACCTAAAAATAAGAGAAAGCTCGCGAAGATATCTTGATGCGAAGTTTATTTTCCGTTACCATAAACAACATTTTTTTGCATGTGCGTGCAGCCAAAACTTCGACGGTCAACAGGCCGGGGCTTCGCGCGCGAAGTGAGGCCCCATTCGCGCGCCATAGGGGCCGGTATCCTTCTCGGCGAGCGGTCGTGTTTGCACATCGCCCGGCGATGCGCATCCCATTTCCCCATCGGTGCGGCGTATGTACACACACGTGTTGGCATATGCACGTGAGCCCCGTTGCCGGCTCGCGCCCTTCGCTTCTCGCGTCGATTTTTCGAGTGTAGTCTGTCATCTCGCCGACGTTGTGTTTGTCGGCGTCGAGCGGAGTCTTTCCGTTCCCCTCCCCGATTTCAGCCGATTACAAAATGAAGGCGTCACGGCTGCTGTTGCGCGGCGAGGAGAAGCGTATTGAGAGCTCCTTACCCCCCTTCCGAGCGATGGCGCGAACTCGACACCGACCATTGGCGCGGGGCGCAGAGTTCGATTGCCCAGCCAAAAAAGAACGTCATACAGAACTTCGAAGCCTTAATCCTGAACGTAATTCTATACTGTGCAAAAAAAAAAAAGATAGTGCTTGAAATCTTTGTGTCAGAGAAACGTGTGAGCAGTGATAGGGAAAAAAGTAGAGACAAAAGTAGAAAAAAATAATTCAGAAGTAATCGCAAGCCGTTACATAAGCGGCCTACAGCACACTTCATTCGATACTGGCACCTTTATGTTGGCTATATAGGTCTGAAAACTTTTCGTCTCCAGTACCCAGCATATGTTAACACAGTATTAGCAAGGCAACCCGGCTTAAGTGAATCTATGAATACAATGCGGACGCCTTGGTTCTTTCTCTCGGTGACGTGCATTGTAAGACGCGGGTGCGTTTTCTTGAAGTCACGTTTTGAAAAAAAAAAAGTCACAGCATATCTATGGAGTGAATGATGATAAGTGGGGCGAAGCGTCCGTCAGTCCGTCCATCCGTCCGTCCGTGCGTCTATCTTTGTGTTCGCCCATCCGTTCGTCCGTGCATCCGTCCGCGCGTTCGTCCGTCTGCTTGTTTCTCTGTACGTACATATACAAGAAAACACAAGAAAGTTACGGTCACTACTTTCATACTTATTAAGAAGGGGGGGGGGGTAATGTGTATCTAAGGGAGTGTAAGAAATAGTTTGTGCGAGAACGATGAACGAGCCATCTGTGCGCACTTCAGGTCCGTGAGTGCCTGTGTTGTATACGCATGTTTGACAAATCTTTAGAAAATGTTTGCAATTGTTTCTTTGCAAAGAAGTAGTTATAAATAAGTCGAAAGTTGTACATGTTTTGTGTTCATCTTTTTATAGTGGCGGAACAAATAACCTGCATGCAGACATACTGCGTGGGACATTTGCAATATAGCGCAGTGCTCTTTTTTGCAATGAATAAATTGTTTTTGTGTTGCCAAGATTGTGGTGACCAAGACAAGTAGGCAGTAATTTATGTACTTCAGTGGGTGATAGTCGAGAGTGAACTCCTCGAACGATTTCCTTTGTACATGTCAAATGAGGCGGAATGAAAGTGCTCACTGGAATTGATGCGAATGACTTGCTCTTTAGAAGGTCCGCGACACATGAGGGGTCTGACAACCTACAAACTACCCCGACTCTTCCAAACTGACGACAGTCACTTATCAATTAGACGTGGGACGTCGTGGCTTGAAGCTCCGCTTGGAAAGCTTTTGGGTTGATTGATTGATTGATTTGTGGAATTTAACGTCCCAAAACCACCATTTGATTATGAGAGACGCCGTAGTGGAGGGCTCCGGAAATTTTGACCACCTGGGGTTCTTTAACGTGCACCCAAATCTGAGTACACGGGCCTACAACATTTCCGCCTCCATCGGAAATGCAGCCGCCGCAGCCGGGAATCGAACCCGCAACCTGCGGGTCAGCAGCCGAGTACCTTAGCCACTAGACCACCGCGGCGGGGCAAGCTTTTGGGTTGTTGAGCCTGATCAATCCCCCACTCGAAGGCACCAGCACAACAGAGATGCTGCTAATACCTGCTGCTAATACCTATGTTCCCATACCCACGGAAAAGTACAGCAATCTTTTGTTCTGCGTCGCTTCCTCCTCTCCCCGCCGGAGCTTCTTGTCTCATCGGGGGGACGCGGCGAAGAACCGGTTTTCGCCGCTCGGCGCCATGTTGGATGCGCCAAAACGCCATTGTTTTGCTTGTTCGCTGCATGCAAAGTGCAGGACGTGCGAAGTGCGCGCGTGCGTCTCACTCGTTTTGTCACAATGCCGGTTCGCTCTGTGAAAATTTGTATCTGTAAATGTCTTATGTCACTTGCTTTGTACTTGTGCAACATATCTCCCATTTCATAAAATTGTGGAAAATGAAAACACGCTTCAAAAAGATATTCTCGTTGAGCGGGACCTTTAGTCAAGCTTCCGCCACTAAACGTGCGCGTTTGAAATGCGACACTTCTATACAATCATTAGGCAGGTGTGTTTGGTTTTATCTGAGTAGTTCTATCTTTATATTGCTTGTTATTACTGACAGAAAACAGATTATTTAATAACCATGCATGCAACGATCGAGGACCGTCATAACATTCATGGATGTGAACCTGAGTAATGCATGGTAGGGTGGGTTGTCTTTAAATAGCAGAAGTATGCATTTAGCCGTTTCCTGCATACCTGTTTTTATGTGAGAGAATTTGTCTCAAAAGTAGGTATTGTTTCGAATTCAGTAGGTATTGTTTCGTGATTATCACGGCTGTTCTCAAGCGCAGCTCATGTCTGCAACAGTGTTGCAGATATGGGCTGCGGTACTTGCGCTGTGGTACAACATGGGCTGTGGTACAGACGGTGGTACTTTTTCAAAGTATAGGGGCTTTAGCTGCTAATACCACTGGAGAAAAATGATTACAATGGCAGGTCATCATTAAGCAACGAGGCTGACCAAGGACTATGCCTTTGGCAAAGAGACAAATTAGCATTGGCGTGCTTGCAATCGTCTAAGCTATAGTGGTATGTATCACACAGAAATTATCCCTGGTTAAATTCACCCTAAACTCGGTCAAACCTCCAAACAAGCTTGAGAACGCCAGGAAGTCGACGTGGCAGTCCCTGTGGCATTGTCCGTGATCACCAGCGTCACCGTCATTATCATGACGTAAAGTGAGTAATTTGCATGTGCTGTGCCGAGATGACAAGCAGAGAATGTGTTGTCTGGAACGTCGTTGACAACACGATGATGTTGATGACGACGAGGAACGCTTGTTCTTCGTCGTCATGAACATCATTGTCATGAACAGCGGTGGCTACGGCGTGGCAGAGGACAGGTCTCATTCATAAGCATGCATCGCATCTAA